ACAAGCCATTTCCCCTTTCACAGACAGGGAAACTGAGGCAGGGGACGTGACCGGTCATGCAGCCAGGGAATGGCAGACCCTGGGACCCCGGTCCTGTGAGACCCTCATACTATGCCACCTTCTCTACAGGAAACTGCCCCTGTGGGGGGCGGGGAACAAGTGTGCCTGGGATGGAAGGAGGGGCAGGCGGCTTGGGGCAGAGGGTGCCTCGGGGTCCACCGCAGGGCCCCTCCCTCTGAAGCAGCTTGGTGACAAGGGCAGGGACATGACTAAACTAGGGGTGCTGACAGCTGCTGGGAGGGGAATAGGTGGGAGGGGGAGATGCAGGTGGGAGGCTGGGGTGTGGTCAGGGTGGGACTGTCGGGTGGGGCAGGGAGAGGGGTGTCCACAGGAGGGGGACCCAGGAGGAGGAGGGCTGGTCTGAGGAGGGCGTCCCTTTGGGCACGTGGAGTGTGGGGAACCCTGGGCCATCTGAGAGGAGCCTGGGGTGAGGGGTGCAGGGTGCACGTGCGGAGACTCAAGGACCCCAGTATTGGGAGTTTGAGCAAAGAGGCCTGGGGCCTGGGGAGCAGTGTCCGAGGGGTCCTGCCCTTGTGGTAGGGGGACAGCCCGTGGTCAGAGGTGTTCAGACTGAGGGGGTTAGTGACGGGGTTGCTGGTGGCCGGGCCCAAGTGGCCACCCCTCTCTCTCTGTGTTAATCGGACCCGAGCCCCCTTGCTGACCGGGAGCTGAGATGGGGGTAGGGGGGCACATGACGACACTTGACCCTGGATGTAGTCTTTGTCCCTAGAGATGGGAACAGGGTCTGGCTTGGGCACAGGAGGGTGGCGGAAGCGGCGGAAAGTGCTCGAAGTCTGCCCTGGGTCCCCGGCAACCAGCCCCTCTGTGGGGGCGCCAGCCCTGCTGTCTGTTCCCCGAGTTTGAGCTGAGCGTCACTCAGGAGAGAGCTGTTTTGCTCTGGGGAAATCAAAACCAGACTTCACTCTCATCCTGGGCTCCGGGGACGGCTCCGTGCTCCTTCCTGGCAGACGGGCTGCGGGGGAGGAGGAGGAGCGGGCATGGGCCTCAGGGGCTCCGGGGTGGGCACTGGGGGCGCGGGCCGGGCAGCAGGCCCTGGTCTATGGAAGTCAGTGGGAGGGGGTGGATGGATGCCCAGCCCTCGCTCCTCCGGGCTCTGCCCGCTCCCAGCTGGGAGTTGTCTCTCCCTCCCTCCAGAGCCCCTCCCATGGCCCTGCCTGGAAGGAGTTCATAGCCCATCCTTCAGATGAGGAGTCTGGGGCTCAGAGAGGTTAAGCACCTTGTTCAGAGTCACCCAGCCTACAAATAGCCAAGACAGGATGCCCACCCCGATGCCCACGGTGCTGCCACGTGGAGCGGGGCCGTCCACTAGAGGCTGGCCCACACCCGGCTTAAATCCCGGCTTCCTAACGAGCTCGGGGCCTGGCCGGAGGCCGGAGGGTGCAGAGAAGGCAGCTCGTGTTTGAAATTGGCCAGAGCCCGTCGGAACTGAGGGTAATCGTGTTGTGAGACGCGGGTGTTAGGATGTGGCCCAGCCCGGCTGGTGGCTTGGTGACGGGGTGGGGGTCAACAAGGCTTTGCTCTCTGCCTCCCGCGGCAGGACGCTGGCCCGGCTCCGAGGGCGACGCTAGGACCTGCCGGGAGTGGCTCGGCCTCTGGGGCTTAGCGTCCAGCTGGGACGATGAGGGCAAAAAGTGCTTCTAATGGGGACCTACTCGGTGCCAGACGTCGTGCACCCTCCTGTGATGCAGAGGCGGTTTGTCCGTTCGCAGATGAACAAACCAAGGCTCAGCCCTGTGGGTCGGTACCCAAGGCCGCAGTCAGCCCTGCGGACCGCCCTGCTTACCCCTGCCCCCTCCCCACCTCACCCACCCACCCCCAGGCAGTGCCCGGTCTGACCCCCCCGCGGTGGGCCTGTGGGAAGACAGAGTCTATGTAAAGCAGTGATTCCCAAGCATGACGGCCTTCAGAGGGGCCACAGGGTCAGGAGGGCTTCCTGGGAAAGGGGCGCCGGGGGGAGGGGGACTGGGTGCCGCGTAGGTGCAGAGGGAACAGCAGGTACCAAGGCCTGGAGGTGGGATCGTTAGTGGAGCTTGAGGGGTTGCAGGGTTGGGAGTGGTCAGGGGACATGGTGGGCGCTGGCTGCACTGGGGATGGCCTGCCTTTCCACCTGGCCCTGTGCCCTGAACCCTGAGCCTGGAGCATGGACCCGCCCAGGGCAAATGCTGCCTGTTAATTTCACACATGGATGGAGACTTGGGTGCGGGGAGGGGGGGCAGTGAGGTTTCGCTGGGGAGCCTGAGCCTGGGAGTCTGGATGGAGGGTGGAGGCAGAGGGACCCCATCATTGTCCCTGGACCCCTCTTCCTTCCCAGGGCCTGTGGTGGTCGGCGCTGCTCAGGGTCAGCACCCTGGACAGGACCCCGGCTCTTCTGGCGCTGGGGATGGGGGCACACGGGCTGTGTGCTGATGAGAACAAACATCTCTTCCCCACTTTTGATTTGGAAAAATCAAGAGAAACATTGAAATAACAGTGCAGTGAGCGGCTGTGCATCCCTCAACTGCGGAGGTCCCCACCTTTAGACTAGGGACACCTTCCCGCTCTGCCCCCAGGCCAACCATGCCCCCTGGGGGAGGAGGGAAGGCTGCTGGGTGATGGTGTGGGGTCAGGGGACGGGGAGGACTTCTGAGCTGGGCGATTCCTGGGAAGCCTTCTCTGCCCCTTGGAGGCCGCACTACCCAAGCCCTTGTCACCCAGCTCCTGCTGTTTATGCCACATGATGCCAAGGTCACACAAGGTCACACGGATCGCTGGCTGATTCAAGTTGGAGGGGGGCACTTAATTGGGCATCCATGCTGGGCTCTGGAGGCCCTGCCATTTCCTGGCCGGGTGACCTGGGGTGACTTCAGGCAAGTTAGCTGACCATCTGAACCTCAGTCTCCTCAGGAAAATGGGATCATACCTTTTGTGCAGGTGAAGAGCACCAAGCAGTTTACTCTTTACAATAAGCCCATTCTACAGACGAGGAAACTGAGGCTTAGAGAGGGGAAGTACTTTGTCCAAGGACACACAGCTCATAAGCTGTGGAGCTGGATTTGAACCCAGATGGTCTAGTCTGACTCCAGAGTCCAGGCCCCTACGCTCCTGGCTGTGCTGTGATGAGTCTCTTCTGTCTCTTTGAGCCTTAGTCCTTCAGCCCCTGCTGCCCTTCACTGCCGGGTGTGGGCGGCAGTCCTGCCCTGTTAGAACAGGGGCGCCTTCCCTCTCTGCCTGACCCCCTTCCCAGCCCCTATCCTCTGCCAAAACTTTCTTGGAAAATTGCAATTTTTTTTTTTAACCAGGTCTGCCATTCCAGGTCACCAGCATCTCCCGTCAGTGCCTGCCTCTCCCTGTATCAGTGGCCTGCTGGTGGCCAGGCCTCCGTCTCTCACTGTGCTTGTGGGAGGGGAGTGCTGATGAGGAGGGGCCTAGTGGAAGTTTCCAGGCTGTGGGTCAGGCGGCTGAGTTCAGACCCTCTCCTTTCCACATCACGTGCTGGCCCCTTTGTGCCTCAGTTTCCCTGTTTGGAGCCAGGCCAGAGTAATGCTCTCTTCCCTCCTTCCCGCTTCTGTTATCAGGGCTGCCGAGCCAAAGGACCAAGGCCCTGGGCAACCTGCACGGACCTGGGCTTGCAGTGGGCACTTGGGCCTTGGCACTTGTTGAAAGCGTGCGTTAAGCCGTTTGTGAAAGGTGGTCTCCAGTCTGATCAGGGACACCCCCGGGGCCTCCTCTTCCCCTTCCCTGGGAAGGATTCGTTTCTTTACTCACCCGACCTCCACCTAACACCTGCCTTCCTGTCTATTTGTCCACGCCGTCAGTCATTAGTTCATGCATTCATTCGCTCATTCATCCATTCACTCATGTGTTCACTTGTTCATGCAAACATTCATTCATTTGTTCATTCACAATTCATTCATCCATTCATTCATTCACACATTCATTCATTCATTCATTCACTCACACATTCATTCCACAGCCTGTATGGGGCACGTTCCCAGGCCCTCTGCCGGGATTCAGGCGCTTTCACACCTGTTTTGATTGACGTCTCAGGACAGCTCCTGTGGCAGGCACTGTGGGACGTGTCCCTATTCCTCCCACTTTGCAAACGAGGAAACCGAGGCCCGGGAGCCGGCGCTGCTCCCCCAAGGTCAGCCTCACGGAAAGTGGTTAGATCTTCTCCTTCAGTGATTTTACAGAGAACATTGGTTTGGTTCCAACTTGAACCGATTCAGTACTTTCCAGAAAAAAACATCTCTTTTGTTTGTTTCATGGTTCAGTAAAGAATGACTATTTGGGCCTGGCGGGAGGTTCAGCCACTTGATTTGGCTCGTTGCAGCTTTTGGTTCACGGCGCCGTTCTCATCTCGCTTGTGGAAGACTCGGGGCTGACTACTGCGAGGGGCGGCAGGGGCGGGCCATGGGGGCAGGTGCTGGGCGCTGCTGGGCTGAGGGGGGCTCCGCCTCTCTGCTGCCCCCCTCCCCCATGCAGGCGGGGCAGCCAAGTGCCTGAGGAAGCCAGCACCTTCTCTGACTGTGCTGTCCCCGGGATTGAGAGATGGGAAGAATGTGTATTAAATGTCCACCCCGTGGGAAGAATGTATGTTACATGTTCACCCGGTGGGAAGAATGTATGTTACATGTTCACCGGGGTCACGGCACCCCATGAGGGCAGGGAGAAGCCACCCCTGGTCTAAGAGACTGTTCTTGGCCGTCCTGCCAGCAGCCCAGGGGGACTGGGCCAGTGCTGTCCCCTGCTGTGCGGTCAGACACAGAGCTCCTCACTGGGTCTGTTCCCGGGGCGTGTCCTTGGTCAGAGCTAGTGGTGCACCGACACGGGCAGACAGACTGGGGGGGTGGGAGGGCAGGAATGGGGCTCCCAGTGCCTGCCCATCCCCTGGGACACCTCCCTGAACTAAACGGCTCCTTCTCTGTTTTCTCTTGCAGTCACCGAGAAGGAGGTCCAGCAGTGGTGAGTAGCTGCTCTTCCCCAAAATGTTGTGGGGGTGGGGGTGGAGGTGGGGGGTCGGGGACAGCAGTCCCGTTGCCCAGGATGGGGGCACATGGAGGGGCCTCTGGGAGCGGCTCACCCACAAACCTGTCCAGGCAGCCTGTGCCCACGGCACGCTGACATGGACCCAAACCAGCTGGGGGCGTGGGGATGGGTGTTGGTGACGCCTTGCCTTGTGTGACATCTGCAAGGACCACCAGGCCATGAAGGGTTAACTCAGGCCCTGCTCACCAAGAACAGCGGTTGGGACCAGAAACCAGTGAGGGCTCAGGGTCCCAGGCCCAGCTTTGTGACTGGATCCTCCTGTAGCCTTGAGAAGCCTCTTCCCTTCTCTGGCTCCAGCGGTCCCTTCTGCAAGGTGATGGATTAGGTGGGGTCAAGGGTGGCCAACAGGTTTCCTCTCGGCTGGCAGCTCTCATCAATCCGAAGTGGCTGCCTGCAGTGCCGCCTGGCCGAGGCTGTATGAAAGGATGGCAGTGAGCGATTGATGAGCTCTGTAGTGGATTAGTGATGCCTGCCCTGGGCCGGGCAGAGGAGAGTGGCATGTTTTCAGTCATTGTGGGATGTGGAGCAGACAGGGTGAGCCTGAGTTGGGGGCATGGTTAGGAGAGCCAGGAGGTTAGTTGGCTGAGTTTGCAAACCTTCTAGTAAAGTTTGGTGGTTTAGGAATGGACTCCAGAGCCTGGCTGTGCTTTCCTATCCTGGGGACCTTGAAGGATCCAACTCCCAAGCCTCAGTTCCCCCGTGTGTGTGACGGGAATGGTGATGCGTTGGGGGGACATTTCCTGTACAGGTCATAGCACGGTGCCCACGAGAGGACAGACATGGCCAGCGGTCTTCCCTCCGCTGTTCAGACCGGGAGCTGAGGCTAGAGATGCGTCCTTGTTCCTTTCATCCTCGCAGCCACCCGCCCCATCGTGGCGTTTCCTAGATGAGGCCTCTGAGTCGCAGGTGTAGGGCCCACCTGAGCCCCCTGCGCCCTCCCCTGCTCACACCTGGGCCTCCCCCAGGAGAGGCAGGGCGCACAGTGGCCAGGTGGGCTGCAGAGTCCAGGTCCTGAGCCCCCACTTCCTGGCTGAGTGGCCTTGGACACGCTACGGGATTGCTCAGTGCCTCGGTTTCCCCAACTGAAAAGTGAAGGTAATAATAGTCACACGTTAATGGAATATTGTGAGGAATAAGTGAGTTAACTTATCTAAAATGTTTGGAGCAGTCCTGAGATCGAGGGCCCCTCCTCATTATGCAGGGGGGGAAACTGAGGCCCATGCAGGTGGAGTGACTGTCGTTCGTTCATGAAGCTGACATGTGAGCTACATCCGGGCGAGGACCCGGCCATGGGAGAGGGTGTTCCCGGCACAGGGAGCAGCCAGGACAGGGGCTCGGGGGTGGGACAGGCCTGGCGTGTTTGAGGGGGGCCTGTTGGGAGCAGTTGTCGAGGCTCCCTCAGTAAAACTGGCACCCTAGGCCTCGTGACACCCAGTCCTGCCGCAGGGGAACTCTCTCTAAAGAGCTTATACAGAAGAGAGATGATCTTTTCTTTGCCAGAAAGTTCCATGGACCTCAAGGCACTGTCCTTTGGATCATTATGGTGGTGCCTTCAGGGCTAGGAGAGAGCTGAACCCGTGCCTTCCTCTGGCCCTCAGGGCTCCCCGGTTCTCTGCCTGCACCCTCTCCCCTGCTCCCCAGGCACCAGCCACAGTGGCATCCTCACCCACTCTGAGCTCCTTCCTGCCTCAGAGCTGCAACCTGCCGTTCCCTCTGCCCCCAGATCTTGGCATCTCCGCTCCCATGTCACCTCCTCTGAGAGGCCAGCACTGACCACCGGGCCTGTGTCTCCGGCACGAGACAGGATCGTCGTGTCCTATGCCGACATTTAGTAGTTTTTTCCTCTCATATTTTCTGTTTTCCAGTGTTTGTATAATGCTATTGTTACCTTTATAGTAGCCACATACCTGGCAGTACTGCCACAGAACTGGTGGCTGGAGCAGGAGGAATCCTGCAGCCGCCTCAGCTGGGGCAGCTGTCTCCTGGGCCGTGCTTGCAGTTCACAGCCTCGGGCGCCCCCTGTGGGCCGGGCACTGTGCTGATGCTGAAATCAATGCGGCCAGGAAATCAGCCGGCGTGGGGACCTTTTTCCTGCCAAGGCACATTCGGGTGTTTACAACATCGTTCGCGGGCCATGCAAAATGATCAGCTTAAAAATCAACCTGCTCTATATGGTCAAACATTTCATTAACTCACCCTAAGGCCTTGGCGGGGCCAGACCAAAGGATTTCGCAGGCCTTACACAGCCCATGGGCCAGATGATCCTCACCCCAGGTCTAGGGGAAGCCCCATTTTACAGATGAAGAAACTGAGGCTCAGAGGGGCGGAGACACGTGCCCAGGTCACACTGCTGTGTGTGTGTGTGTGTGTGTGTGTGTGTGTGTGTGTGTGTGGAGTCTGGGTCCAGCTCGCTCCTCCTCCAGGCTATGAGGGCTCAGACCTGCTGACTCTTGCTCTGGGAAACCCCACAAAGCCAAAGGCAGGGTGTGGGTGTGGGAGAGGAGAAAGGAGGCGGCATCACCCCCTGGGTGTGTTTGGAACCCTCCTCCAGGGCCCTCTGGAGTCAGGGCTCCAGGCAGCGCTGAGGGGCCTGCCAGGGGGAGGGAGCTGTTTGGAGAGAGAATACAGCGGTCCCGGGCCGGGATGCTGCAGTCCCAGCCGCACGTGGCTGATGGCAGCTGGGGTCCGGCTTTCTCACGAACCCGGCCATCTATTCGGTCCCCACCGCTCCGCTACGGAGAGCAGAGCTGCACGGCAGAACCTCGGCACCGGGGCGATTGGCATGGAGGGCGGGGCGGGCTCGGAGCAAGATGGGTCCCAGAGAACAGTGTTCTGTGGGGACAGGGCCGTGAGTTCCAGAAAGTCCTGGCAGGCCGGGCCGATAGGGAACTGAGGCCGTGGCAGCGCCGGGGCCTCCTCAGGGCCCCCAGAGAGCGAGGAGCTGAGCCGGACTCGGACCTGGGTGTCATGGCGAGTGTTCGCTCACTCGTGCATTCACTGTCTTTCATTTGTTCATTCATTCATTTACTCCATCATTTGTTTGTTGGGTGGTTTGTTCAGGAAATCTTTGCTGAGCACCTACTATGCGCCAACCCAGTGCTGGGCTCTGGGGGCAGCAGGGACGGAGGGACACGAAGTGCCTGGAGTCCCCTGGGAGACACCGGCTGGCGCAGTGGGAACAGAAGGCGGTGGGAGGCCCCGGGGAGGAAGCCCAGCGTTCAGCCCGGGGGTGCTTTGTAAGCGGCTTCGTGTTGTTGTGAAAAGCAGATTTCCTTTCCCTTTCCCTTTCCAAGAAGCGTGAGAATGCAGCTGTCGGGTCTGGGGTTCTCTTGTTTCATCTCCACCCTGGGCTTCTCTGGGGGGCGGCTCTGGAGCCAGAAGCGAAGGGGAAGCAGGAGTCAGCGGCGAGGAGGAGGAAATGCCGTGTGAAGGCCAGGGGCCACGGGGGGACTTAACTGTCCTCAGCCTCAGTTTCCCCATCTGTACAGTAGGCACAGTGGTCCTCGCCTGCTGGGCTGGGGGCCAGTTCGGTGGATTGTGCCTGGCAAGCACGTCGGCCTGAGCCCCGCTCTCATCGGTGCCTGATGGTGGCTGTTATTTGGAATCACAGACCACGGCAAAGGCAGTCACTTGCGGTCGACACCCCCAAGCCTGTGGGGGTCCCCAGAGACCAGCTAGTTCGTGGTTCTGCTGCCTGGGGACCTTTGGCAATTCGAGGGCAAGGGTCCTCAAACTTTTTAAACAGGGGGCTAGTTCACTGTCCCTCAGACTGTTGGAGGGCCGGACTATAGTTTAAAAAAAACCTATGAACAAATTCCTATGCACACTGCACATATCTTATTTTGAAGTAAAAAAACAAAACGGGAACAAATACAATATTTGTATTTGCATGTGGTCCCCGGGCCGTAGTTTGAGGACCCCTGGTCTAGGGACTCTTTGGGTTGTTACGACTTGGGGGAGGGGTGCTCCTGGCATCTAGCAGGTGGAGGCCAGGGATGCTGCTGACACCCCACAACACGCAGGACAGACCCCGCCATCTAGGCCAGACGTCAGCGGTGCTGGGTGGAGGGACCCTGGCCGAGGCTACACCACCTCTTTCCCCGGAAGGGAGGTCAGGGGTTGTTGTGGGGAAGGGGTTTGCTCAGGGTCCCTCTTGCGGCGAGACAGGACGGGACAGGACGGGACAGGACCAGGCCTTCTGGGCGCTGGGCAGAGCAGCTGGCTTCCTGGCGGCTCCAAGTCTGTGGGAGGGAGGGCAGTCCGTGGAGGAGAGGGAGGAGGCCTGGGCCTGTTGGAACCTGAGGCCTGGGCCCAGGTGGGGAAGAAATTTCTGGGCATGAACTTTATTATGAGGCAGCAGCTCCCCCGGGTGCCCACAGTGGGGGGTGTGCCTGTGTGGGGTGTCCCAACTCAGCAGCCAGTGGGGGACGGGCTGCCCCTCAGGATTGGACCTCGAGCGCCATGCAGTGCTGGCCTCGGAGCTGTGACGACTTGCAGGATGGATTCGGGGCCCGGGGACACTGGGGTGTCTGGGACAGCGAGGCATGGGTCCCCGCCTTCTGATGATGAACAGGGGGTCATGAAATGTTGGGGTAGAGGGCGCTTTGCCTGTGTGCTGACACTGGGGTGGTGCAGCCCAGTTCCCAGAGGGGCAGGCGAGGTGGGAGCCTGGGAGGCAGCTGAGCCCTGATCTGCTGCTAGCTTGCTGTGTGACCTTGGGCCAGTCTCTCTCCCTCTCTGGGCCCCAGCTCCCCATCAGTCCATGGAGGTGGGGAGCACATCAGCAGTTCTCTAACCAACTGCAGGGAGCTCTCGGTTCTGTCCAGGGACCCTGGCAGTCCTCCCTCCCTCCCTCCCTCCCTCCCTCCCTTCCTTCTTCCCTTCCTCCTTTCCTCCCTTCCTCCCTTCCTCCCTTCCTCCCTTCCTCCCTTCCTCCCTTCCTCCCTTCCTCCCTTCCTCTCTTTCTTTCTTTCTGTCTTTTCCTTTCTTTCCATTTATTTATCTCACTGGACACTTTCTAAGCCCCATTAAATGCCAGGCCCCATCCCAGGCATTGGGGCACCGCAGTGTCAGGGAGCTCCCATTCAGTGGGGGACCTAGTCTGGAGGTGTGGTCTGTACTGTGCTAGGCACATACAAGGGAGTGGAGGAGCCATGTGGCCTCTGGGTGGCCAGGGAGGACTTCCTGGAGGAAGCAGCATCTAAGCTGGGACTTGGTGGATGAGTGGATTAGCCCGATTAAGAGGAGGAAGATGTGCTTTGCAGGCAGAATGACCTGCAGGTACAAAGGTCTGGAGGCTGGACATGGGATGGCAAGTTCTAGAAAGTGTGTCTGGGTATGAAATATGGGGCCAGTTGGCAAAAAGAGGCTGGGGCAACCCCTAATGGGCAGGGGCCTGGGGCCCTCAGAGACAGTGACAGCCTCTGCAGGCATAACCAGAAGGCCCCTGAAGACTCCCCACTGGGCCACCTCCTGGGCCCCCCACCCCCCAGCCCCCAGCCCTCATTAATGCTCTAGGGACGCCCCTGCCGGCCTCACCACAGCTGCTCACAGTGCTGATGGCTCTGCTCCTGTGGCTGGGGCTGAGGCCCTGAGCAAACAGCTTCCCCTCCCCGGAGGCGAGAGACTGGGGGCCCTGTGAGGCCTCCCCCCTCTCCACCCCCCCCCCCCCCCCGCAGGGACCATCCAGGAGGCGCCGTTGGGAGCCTTTTGTTTTCTCTTTATTGTTTTAAATGCTTTTAGAAACGCTCAGCAACATACATGGTTGCAGAAATGAGGAGCTCTGGGAGCCCAGGGCAAGTACGGCCCCTATCCCGGCACCCAGAGCCGCGTGGTGACAGTGCAGTGTGCCCCCTCTTGGATCACCACGTCCTGGTGCCAGGCACGCCCCTCCCCCTGCCCAGGGACCATCCTGGCCTGGAGGCCTGGAGGCCTGGGGTCATGGATCAGGTCTTGTCCCCGAAAAGCTCCTCCCAGCTCCTGGTCACCAACAGCGACTTCAAGCACAACACCCCCGGACCCTCTCCTGGCTCGCGGGAGAGGCGAGAGGAGCCCCGCACCCGCCGGGAAGGCCTTCAGCGACCGTCTCCGAGCACCTGGGCTCTTCACCTCAGCCCCCACCTTGGCTCCAGTCTGGGCTGTGGGGACTCAGATCTACCCTCTGAGCCTCAGTTTCCTCATCCACGCAATGGGCCTCCCCGTAGTCCCTCGCTCACAGGGCCCTTAGGGCATTATTCCAGGAGACGCGGTTTGCAAAGGTCCCCGCACGGCATTTCCCGGGGAGGTGAGAGCTGCAGCCGGCAGTGGCGACCCCTCTCTCTGGCTTCCCTTTCTGCCGGGGACCCTTTGTGTAGGGCACCGCAGGCCACAATCCTGCAGATCCCGCTAGTGACGATTCTTGATGCCAAGTGTGCGACACGCACCATCTCGATCCCGACAACATGGGTGTGACAACCCCTTTATGGATGAGGAGGCTGAGGCTCAGAGAGGTGAGGGCACTTGCCCGAGGTTGCACAGCGAGCGTATGGCAGAGCCGGGATTTGGGCTGCAAAGCCACGCTGCCGTCAGCCGCGTGTCTGCAGGGTTCTGTGCTGGGCACTGGGATACACGGGGGACAAGTCCACTTGGAACAAACCAGGTTCCCTCCAAGCTCACACTGCTGCTCCGTGTCTGTTACACGGTCCTTGGGAACAGACGGGGAGGAGGGTGTGTGTGTATTGGGGTGCAGGCATGTGGGAGGAGCCAGCTGCCCGCCCCATATGGTGGCTCTGCCCACTAACTCTGCCAGCACCCGGGGAGGAGGGGCTCCGGGGAGAAAGTGGGGGGAGAGGGGGCAGAACTGCTTTGGGCAGGAGTGTGGCTTTGGGGTGCTGTTGGTGGGTTTTGTTTCAGCCCCCCCACAGGGAGCAGGGTTGAGTGGCCAGCTGCTCCGTGTACACTGTCTGGGTGACTTCTCATGCGACTCTTAGCCCCTGTACAAACGAGGCTCAGAGAGGTACCGCCACCTGCCTCAGGTCACACAGCTCGCGAGAGGCAGCGTGGGAGAGCCCGTGCCTGTGACGTCGGGCCTGTGCCCAGGACCCCCGTGTGTGGGTCTCTGGACAGGGACCCCCAGCCTTGAGGGCGGGCGCTTCTGGCAGGTGGCGGTGTTGGTGTGTCTGACCCTCCCTCGCTGGGCTGCCCCTCAGGTACAAAGGCTTCATCAAGGACTGCCCCAGCGGGCAGCTGGACTCGGCGGGCTTCCAGAAGATCTACAAGCAGTTCTTCCCGTTCGGAGACCCCACCAAGTTCGCCACGTTTGTTTTCAACGTCTTTGATGAAAACAAGGTGAGCTGGGATGGCGGGGCCTCCCCCGCAGCAGCTGCTCAGCCCTGGGGTTCCCGCAGCGGCTCCACACCCACTCTCTCCCCCAGCGTTCCCTCCGGGAGAAGGAACAACACGTGTGCACACTCAAAAGCGCACATACACAGATACACACGAGCGCGTGCACGCCCACACATGCATACACACAGATGCAGGCATTCATTGTGCACGTGCACACACCAGCACACACAGGCACCACACAGAGATAGTGCGTGTGCATACCTATACCGTGTGCACACACGTGTGTGTACATGCATGCATGCACATGTATACCTCGATGTTTTTCTTACCGGCACCAAATGCAGATGCCCCCAGGGACAGTAGCAGGCGTTATAGTTGGCACAGACGCTCACTGGACATGTCACAGCCCTTCATGTGAAAGCTTACAACCCACGGGTGTGTCATTTTTTTCCCCCAAAGGTTTTTTTTGGTCTTGTTTTGTTTTGTTTTAGAATATATTTTTATTGATTTCAGAGAGAAAGGGAGATGGAGAGAGGGATAGAAACATCACTGATGAGAGAGAATCATTGATCGGCTGCCTCCTGCAAGTCCCACACTGGGGATCAAGCCCGAAACCTGGGCATGTCCCCTGACCAGGATCGAACCTGTGACCTTCTGGTTCATAGGTCGATGCTCAACCCCTGAGCCACGCAGGCGGGGCGGGCGTGTCATGTAAATACCCATTTGCAGATGAGGAAACAGGTCTGAGAATCAGGCCGTGTGGGGTCTTTCGGGCCTGGCGCCTTTCACTGAGCACCATGGTTTCACGGCTTATGAGTTGTCGCGCGTCCCCTCCTGGCGGTGGCCGCGCTGGCAGCTGGCGGATCCAGGCTTGGGCGTCCACGGTCCTCTGGACTCGGTCCCACGCCAGCACTCCTCTGGCTCCCGGTGCTCACGGTGGGTCTACTGTGACTTGTCCCCGCGCTCCCGCTCTTGGGCACTCGGGCTGTTTCTGTTCCGTGAGGCCCCGGCTTCCGCCCAGGTGACTCCGCGCTGACAGTCACCCTGCTTGGCCCTGGGGAGAGCTCCTGGCCTCAGTTTCCTCATTTGCAAAACAAATAGGTAGGATTGCACTGTCTGGAGCCCCGTCCTCTTCAGGAGCCCGGAGCCTGTGGGTCTAGGCCCGGGGGAGGGGACCTCCAGGCTCTCCCAGAGGTGGAGCCTGTGTTGTGGCCTCACCCCTTCCTCCCGCCCTTCCCGCCCGACCTGTCCCATTTCTAATCCGACCCCCTCCCTTCTCCTTCCTCCCCTTCCTGGTTCTGTCCCTCATCCTTCTCTCCCGCCCTCTCCGTGTGGCGTCTGTCTGCCACGCTCTCCGGTGCCCGCTGCCGCTCCCACCACCTGCCCAAGGTCTGGCCTGACCAGGTGGCCCGACTGACCGAGGCCACCTGCCCCTCTCTCCTGCCAGGACGGACGGATCGAGTTCTCTGAGTTCATCCAGGCGCTGTCGGTGACCTCGAGGGGGACCCTGGACGAGAAGCTGCGGTGTAAGTCCACCCTCGGGCTCCACTGGGCAGCTGCTGGGCGGGTCCCGGGCGGGGGAGGCCAGAGACGGGGCCAGGCCCTCTGTCCCAGCTGAGAGAGTGGCCCAGACCTTCTGTCGCTTCAGGTCCGAGGAGGGCTCCGGAGGTGGCCGTGCGGGAGGAACATGGCTTAGGCGGGTGGACAGATGGGGCAGGAGTTGAGGGGACATTCAGGCGGGTGCGGACGTGGGACGCGGCCACTGCAGCCTGGAGTTAAAGACCCACTTCAAGTGCCGGACCCACGTAGGAGGCCGCTGTTCTGATGACTGATCTCATTCATTCACCTATTTACTCGTTCACCCAACGGATATTGACCAATCAGGGCCACATGTCCGTGCTGGGCAGGAGGCCAGGAACCCGGGAAGGGGGTGGGGAGGGTCAGATCGACGGGCACCTGCTCTCATGGCTCAGTCTAGCATGAGACGTGATTTTTAAAAATCCCATAAAACCGAGGCAGGAAGAGGGAGGTGAGAGCTGGCAGGGGGAACTGACCCTGCGGTGAGTCAGAGCCGAGCTGGGCGCGGAGGGAGCTGGCTGGTAGGAAGCAGGGAGGAGGGCTCCAGGCAGGGGATGCGGAGAGGCGGGGACGAGAGGATGCAGAGGGCAGAGGGCCCACGCTGGCGCGGGGTGACGGGAGGGAAGCTGATGAGAAGATGGGAACAGCCGGCCGGAGCGCACTGCTCCCTAAGACGTTCGCACTGCGTTGTCTCAGCAGCGAGAAAGCCCTGCAGTTCCTCTGTGGTTTTTTTTTTTAAGGATAAAAGGGGTTGCCCTGGCCGGTAGTTCAGTGGTCAGAGTGCTCACCAAAGGGTTGCGGGTTCCATTCCTGGTCAAGGGCACGCACCTGCGTTGCAGGTTCTAAGCCGAGGGGAGCATCTCTCACATCGATGTCTTCCTCTCTCTCTCTCTCTCTCTCTCTCTCTCTCTCTCTCTCTCCCCCCCCCCCATCTCTCCCTCCCTCTCTCTGTCCCATCTCTCCCTCCCTCCCTCCCTCTCTCCCACTCTCTCTAAAAGTCAATGGAAAAAATATCCTCAGGTGAGGATTAACAACCACAGAAATAAGAAAAGAGGATTTTATTCATGCAAAAGCTCCTGGTCCCCTGGGCGGATTGTTTTATTTTCTGAGTTGGCCACAGGGACTGGAATGGGAGAGGCTGTGGCAGGGAGGCCGCGGGGGGGGGGGGGGGGCGGGGGGGCTGGGCCAGTCCTCCCTCCCAGCTTCAGCCCTGGAGGCCTCGCACTGGCCGAGGCCCCATCCTTTTCACTCCCAGTTTCTTTCTTCCCAGTGCGTGTGCGTGTGTCTGCCTGTTGGTCCTGATGAAAGTATTTGCTGACTGGGTGAAGCATGGCTGTGGGCCCCCATCGCGTGCAGAGGTGCAGAGGGCGGAAGGCGGGAGCAGAGCTGCCCCTGCTCCGGGCCCTGGTGACCCCGCCTGGCTGGTTGATTGCAGGGGCCTTCAAGCTCTACGACCTGGATAACGATGGCTACATCACCAGGACCGAGATGCTGGACATAGTGGACGCCATTTACCAGATGGTGGTGAGAGCGCTGGGTTCCGCGGGTAGGAGATTGGGGGGCAGCCAGTTGAGTGGCTCTGCTTGGCCCACAGGGACCACCCCAGGGGGGCCGCTCTCCTGCGGGGGTGAGTTGGGGGGTGAGGGTCAGTCACTACCTGGGGCCACTCCGTACTTCTCCGTCCTGGGAGAAAGGTGGGGGCTGGGCTGTTCCAGCAGAATGGCAGCGAGGGAGGGGGCGCTGGGCGTGAGAGGGAGAGGCCGTCCTCACCGGGCAGCAGCCCAGGTCTGCGGGGCAAATGTTTGGCCCAACGCCAAAGCCTAGAGCGCAGAAGCCCAGCCCCCACTTGTCTGTCCCCGGCAGGGGAACACCGTGGAGCTCCCCGAGGAGGAGAACACCCCCGAGAAGAGGGTGGACCGGATCTTCGCCATGATGGACAAGGTGAGGCCGTGGGGAAGCTGGGCTGACTGGGGGGGGGGGGGGGGCGGGCAGCTGGGGGCCAGGCCCTGGGTCCCCACAGGTCCCACTGACCACCTGTGGGCCTGGCTCAGGCAGGCGGCACGGCCTGGGGAGGTGTCCAGTGGCCTGGTGGGCAGCCATCCCCGTCAAGCCTCTGTTTTAAGTAAGTTTGCCGAAGAGTTTTTCTTCCATAAACCACGATTTTCAGCCGTTGTTATTTGTGCCACAGACCTTTTGGCATCTGGAGAAGTCTGTGGTCATCAGATAAATGCATAGGATCACCCAGGAAGCGGATTGTTCTGGAATACAGCTGTCACATGTTTTAAGAAGACCCTGCCGCGATGCAGTATTCTAGGGGCCTCTTTATGCACACATTAGTAATGGGCTATCGCGTTGGGCCTAGCCACCCCTCATTTTTGAAGCAATGATACACGTATGCGCTGCCTGCAGCAGCTGTGATGTGCTATGACCTTCCCATGACCTCCACAGTTGTCAAGGTCACAGATACTGCTGCTTCCGATGGGGACCCTCACCCAGGTTCGTCCTGGGAGGAAAAGCTGAATTTCAGGGAAAGGATGGTGAAAAGAACAATCTCTTCTTTCCCATCTGAGCTCACAGACCTGCTAGATTCTATCCACGGGCCCCAGGTTAAGAAGCCCTTTTACGTCAAACTTCCTTTGACCTGCAATAATGTTGCTTTAAATGGGGGTCTGATATCAGGGCGGCCGGGAAGCCCAGCGTCCGTCGCTTGCCTTCAGTGAAAGAATATTAGTTACAGGGACATCGGGCTCATTGTGATACGCCGCCGGCTGCGGCTGGAGACAGGCGCTGGCCTGAAGCTCTGAGCCTGAGGCCTGTGCTTCCTGCATTTAAAAAAGGCGGCGAGCCCGGCCAGTGTGGCTCAGTAGTTGAGCGTCGACCCATGAACCAAGAGGTCTCTGGTTGATTCCTGGTCAGGGCATAAGCCTGGGTTGCAGGCTTAATCCCCAGTAGGGGCGTGCAGGAGGCAGCCAATTGATGTTTCTCTCTCTCTATTCCTCTCCCTTCCTCTCTAAAATAAATAAAAACTTTTTTTTTTTTTTAAAGGGGAGAGGTTAGCCCGCAGCAGAGCGGGGTCAGGACATGTGGGCTGGGGCTCCGCTGCTTTCTTGATAATAATGAAAACATGTGGGGAGCAGGGAGCGCCCACTTCCTCACAGGTGGGCCAGTGGAAGTCAGTGCTGAGGCCCTTAAATCTCCAGGCCATCCTTCCCTCATCCGGGGAAGCCAGGCCCGCCCTGGAGTCAGACAGGGTGCTCATTCTGGCTTCCCGGCTACCAGCCAGGGGACTCTGGGTGGGTGACCGAGCCTCAGTTTCCTCACAGTAAAATGGGGGTAAGAGCAACGCCTCTTCTTGGGGCGGGCGTGGGGGTCTCATGAGATCAGCCCGTGCACTTAGCACATGTGGGTACACGGCAGGCGAGCTGGGAGGACGACCTGCTGGGCCGGGGACCCCGGCCATGCTTTCCCCCCGGAGGTCTCTGCTCACAGGTCTCCTGGAAGGGATACTGGCCAAGACCACCCCTCCCCAGACACCCCCTAAGCCCCTGTGCATGAGCTGCACCGGCCTCCTCCCAGGGCCCCCCGGGTCCAGGACAGACGCTCCAGGGACCGCTGGTGCCCCTCCAGGAGTGACCGGAGAAATGCATTAGGCGCTCAGCCCTTTGGGGTTAGCCACCGTGTAGGGAATTCACAGCAGCGATAACGGTGACTCCGGAGTTCGGGGCGCCTCCAGCTCCAGCTCAACGCCCCGCGGAGGCCAGCAAGTCCTCTCGTCCCCGATGAGGAAGCGGGCCAGAGCCAGGCTCGGGGCAGCCAGCCAGGAAGCGTCGGTCTGACTCCTGACTCTCCTCACCTGGCCCGCTGTGCTGCCTCCTGACTCGCTGGGGGAGCTCTCTGGGGACCAGCCCTGGGCCAGGGGCCAGGCCCGCGCCTGTCCTCGGAGGCTGGCTGCCCCTCCCGCTCAGCCGCTGCCCCTCTGCTTGCAGAACGCCGACGGGAAGCTGACGCTGCAGGAGTTCCAGGAGGGGTCCAAGGCCGACCCCTCCATCGTGCAGGCGCTGTCCCTCTACGACGGGCTGGTATAGTCCACGCCCAGAGCTGGGGTGAGTCAGGGGGGACCTGGGGCCTGCGGGGGGGGGGGGGGGGAGGAATCCCAGCCACAGGACGCCGAGGGTTGGCAGAGAAGTGCCTGTCCAACGTGGGGTCTGCCGGGTGCGGGCACAGCGGGTGGGGGCGGCCCCAGAGGCAGGGCCTTCAGATCAGCCCGAGGCCTCTGCTGCGGCGGACGACTGTCCTCCTGGCTTCCTTCTCGTCCTCTCCTGCGTCTGCTCTGCCTTCCCCGTGAGTCCCATGTGGGCGGGGGAGGGAGTGGATGACCCCCGAGGTCCTGTGCAGCCACGAACACTCGTACACACCGTCTGGTGACACATGCGTACGCGTGCTGGCTGTTCATCTCAGGTGACAGCATCGCGGGTGGACGCTTACATAGCTCACGGAGACGTGCGAACGCTCTGTCTAGGAGGCCCGTCCTGCCCCCCCAAGAAAAAGTCAGATGGTGTCATTAATTTATTTAACACTCTTTGTTGTGTCCTCACAGCTTTCTGTGAAAGTGTCTGTGTATGTATTTCCCGCGGCAACAATGAGTTCAGAACCATATGTTGTTCACGCGTTTTTGTTTTTTTTTTAATGGACAATTTATAGAAATCATTTATTTTTTTTCTTTTGGAGACTCAGGGCTAAGAAAAGAAAATGTTTCACCCTCATTGGCTTGACGTTCACATCCTGTTGTGCCCACAGACTGTCCTTAACCTGACTTGTGTAGACACGTATCGTATCCTCACCAGCAACATGCCGACCAAGAAGGTGTACCTTTGTTTTCATGACGCGTTTTTCCGAGTGACAGGATCCAGCTCCCGCCAGCTCGTCCCCGCCGCCCTCCTCTTTCCTGTGGCTCTTCCAGAGCCTCCCAGATAGTAATCACGTCCGTTTTGCCTTCTATCATTTGTGCGATTGATTTGCCTTCTCAGATTCCCGATGTATCCTAATTCCTGGACAAGTTACTGTTACGAATTCACTGTAGTATTCAGTGTTCTGCATCAGCAAATGTTGTTGGAGACCATCCTTTTTCATAGCTGCATAGTATTCCGTCATAGAGCAGGACCATAACTTAACCAGTCCCGTGGTGTGGGGCCTTGGGTTGTGGAGAATTTTGGGGGTGGGTTAAAGAAATTCTCTATTACGGAAGCATTCACACCCAGTGGTAGAGAGAGTAGTGTAACACCGTGTCCCCGGCAGCCAGCTTCAGAGTCGCCAACTCACAGCCGATCCTGCACCATCCCTACCCTCCCTCACACACACCCACACTGGGTATTTTGAAGCACATTCAAGACATCATATTGTTTCATACATAAATAATTTCAAACTGTGTTCCAAAGAACGACTCTTTAAAAAAACCCCACAATACCCCAGCTTCAAGATTAATTCCTAATATTGCCCGAGCTTCAGTGGGTATTCCAGTTTCTTGTTGCCTCCCCAGTTTTTTTCACCTTGTTTATTGGAATCAGAATCTGAGTAGGGTCCACATGTTGCAATTGGTTGAGAGGTCTCTTAAGTGTATTTTAATCATTAAATTTTCCCCTTCCTTTTTTTCTCCTTCTTGCTGTTGGTCCAGAAACACCTTCTATAGAGGTTCCACGGTGTGGGGTTTGTGGGTTGCGCCCCGTGGTGGTGTGAACACCACCTGCTCCCTGTTCTCCCTGGAAAGGGGCGGTCAGACCTGCAGGCTCGCTGCACATCAGTGCGACCCACTTCGGGGAGAACACCTCACAGGTGGGGTTGTGTGTGTCCACGAGGTGGCACGTGATGGCTGGCGCTGTAAGCACCATTCATTCATTCATTCCTTCATTCCTTCCTTCATTCCTTCCTTCATTCCTTCATTCGTTCCTTCATCCCTTCATTCATTCCTTCATTCATTCCTTCGTTCACAAGTGGCGCAAAATGAAGTCACCCCAGCTGCCGTCCCTGCCTCGCGTGAGCTGCAGGCTTCCCTGCAGTCGCTCTTTGGTTACCCCAAGTCCTAGGCTCGAACAGGAAAGGCAGGGTAGATACTTGATTCTCCCTCTTGATGAGTTTTCCAAGTTGGATTTCCAACAGCCTTCAGCGCTGACCAATGACTTTCCTATGTACATGTATATGCACGTAATCATGGCTTTCTGGATGAATGCATTCAGGGACTTCCATCATGTCTGTGGCTTTAGGCAGCAGACACAGTGCTGCCCAGCATCAGGGCTCACAGGTCCCTGTGGAAGGGGAGGAGCGTGGCTGGGAAGTCAGCCGAGCCCCCGGGGGCCGGCAGGGGCCATCGGGAGGCTGGGGGGACACGGGCCTCTCTTGGGGTGCTCTGACCTCTCTTGGGGTAGCTGCTCCTGTCCTCTGTCTCCCGTTGCCCTTGCCCCCAATGGCCACCCAAACCCGGGCCCCGCGGGGCCTTCTGACTCGCCCAGGCCGCCCGCACACAGCACCTGCCTGGCCCCGACCGCGTTTCAGATCCTCTCACACCGATCAGGAGAGGGGCCCCTTTGAGTCAGACACTGACACCTGTCCCAGGTGGGGGGCAGGGACATGCGATGCAACACGGATGTGGAGCAGGTGATGGGAAGGGTGTGTGGGTGGTGCAGACAGTAACAGGCTGTTCCCCAGGCTGCCTTTTTTTTTTTTAATTGATTGAAGTAAAATTCACATGACATGAGATTAACCATTTTAAAGTGAACAATTCAGTGGCATAAAGTACAGTCAGTGTTGTGCAAGCACCACCTCTATCTAGTTCTACAGTATTTGCATCACTCCAAAACAATGCCTCCCGTCGCGCACTCTCTCCCCACCCGCCGCCACCAAGCCCTTGGCAATCACTCACCTGCCGTCTGTGTACAGATCTGCCCCTGGGGGAAATTTTATATAAATGGAATCCCACGTCATGTGGGCTTCTGTGTCTGGCTCCCGTCACTCAAGGTTCTTCCACGTTGCTAGGCCTCCTGACTTCACGTGGACCCTCTCGTCAGTTCTTCATTCCTTTCCCTGCCTGGGTGGTAGTCCCCTGTGTGGATGGACCACGTGTTTATCCATCATCTCCTGATGGACACTTGGGTTGTTTCCACCTGTTGGCCATTGTGCATGATGCTGCTGTGAACATTGGGGGGCATGGACTTATTTGAGTCTCTGTGTTCAATATTTTGGGGGTAGATGCCTAGGAGCGGAATTGCTGGGTCCTATGGGAACTCCAAGTTTAACTTTCGGAGGCAGCACCAAACGGTTCCACTGCAGCTGCACCTTTTATATTCCCAGCAGCAATAGACAAGGGTTCCAATTTCTCCACACCCTTGCCAACACTGCTTCTTTTCTGTTTTTTTATTCTTTTTTTTTATGGTAAGTCATCCTAGTGGGTGCGACGGGGTGTGTCTCGTTGTGGTTTCGATTTGCGTTTCCCCATCACTGACTCTCACCTTCTCATGTGCTTCTCAGCCATCCCACACCTTGTTCTTACTGGTTGCAAACTGGTTCATCCTATGGCTACGTCCTCCCTATCCAGCCAGTGCCCTGAGTGTGGACCCTGGGCTCCCTCCCTCCATCCCTCCCAACCTCGTAATCTTGCTGTTACAGATGATACTGTAGGAAACATTTGTTTCTGAAGAGTAAATGCGAAGCATCCCCCAATGAGTGGGTCAGGGGGTGTGCACGTTGCTAGGCCTCCTGACGTCACGCGGACCCTCTCGCCGACTCTCCCGCCAGCTCTGCACGCCCTGCAGCCGCTCTGAACCCTTCTCCCCTCCTTGTGTCTTCCAGATGCCTGGGAAACTTGCCTCCTCCCGTGCCATGAGCCGCCTCAGCCCCGGCCCCGACGCCGCCCTCCTGTGTCCACCTTGCCGTTCTCCACGGGGCTGCCCCTGAACAGCGAGGCCCGGCTCTCCCCTCCTCCCGCCAACTCCCCCCTCCCCCCGCCTGCTGCACCCACCGCCGCCTGAAGCCACCGGCTCCAATCGCCCACAACCTCTGCTTGTCCAGAAAACACCATGAGACGGCAAAGGCTCCAGCCGTCTGCGAAGCCCGGGACGCAGCTGCTTCGCAGGCAGCGCTCCGTCCCCTGCTCTCCCGCGCGTCTGCTTTTGTTTTTTATTTCAAACAGACATTGAAAAAGAAAAAAAACACACCTACCTTCTGTTCTAGAAGATCCGGACTGACAGGTGGGGAGAAGGCCTTGGGGACCTTGGAGAACTCTGCCTTGTCCGTCGGCCACCAGGGAGGCCACGGAGGCCCCGGCCTGGCCCCGGGTGGGCCCGCGTGTCCGTGTCGGGGGCTGCGTGATGCCCGTTACTTGTCGCCCCGTCCTCGGGCAGCCCACCGCCCGCGTGGCCGGGAGGATTGATCACGACGGTGATGACTCTGACGGCGTATTGTGCTTTTCGCGGGGAAAGTGAGGTGGTTTTTTTATATCCGTATATAACGATTCCTGTTATTTATTGGTTGTTAACTGTTGCTGCTGCCTCTGTGTCCAAAGCTCCCAGAGATGCGGTCTCCCCCCGCCGCCCCCGTTTACATGTGCAGCCCTCGCCCACCTGCCAGCAGCGGCCGAGAAGCCGAGAACTTTGTTTTTTCAGATGCTGTGTTTGATGTTTGGAGAGGGGGACGGCGGGCTTTAACTGGCTACCGCTCTGTTCCCTCCGGCCCGGATGCCTCCTCCTTGAACCCCTTTCTCTGTTCCCGTCCACATCCGCGGTCCTGTGTCCTCCCCCCGGTCCTCAGCATCTTTCTGAGGACAAACGGGGGGCATCTTTCGGTTTCTTGGCTCTTGCTTTGGTGTCTGTAGCAGCGAGGAGAGCGGACGGCTTGTCCTGCCCGGGACCGGCGCCAGGCAGGGCGGCTACAGAGGGAAAGACTGAGGACTGGAGGGGCCTTGGCACGCAGGGCAGCAGAAGTGGGGGCTCGTCCTCCCTCCGGGTGGCAGGCTCCCCTCTCTGCTCTCCTGCCTGCCTGGCGCCTGCCCGACGCTGGACCGGAGGGAAGAGAAGGGTGCAGGTCACCCCGTTCCGGTGGTGGCTGCTCTCGGGGCTGTGCCCACCTGTGCTCACAGGAAGAGTTTTAGCTCCATCTGCCCCTAGAAAGGGCGGCCCCAGAACGGCCACCAGGAAAGCCAGACGACCTTGGACGGAGGCCAGGAGCCCGAGGCCTGCTCCGGCTCCGAGACTGTGAGCCACCTGGCCCTGTCTTGCCCCAGCTGCCCCCAGCAGAGCCCTGAGGCCTGGCTGAGTGATGTGAAAGGTCCATCCATGCTGACACGGTGTGATTCCAAGTGGGAGTTTCCTGAGTGCTGATCCGCTGGCGTGTGGCTCAGTGTGACAGCCCCAGCAGACACGGGGCGTCTGCGGCCCAGATCTTCAGGGGCACGGCGGCCCTGGTGTGGGGTGTGGGCTCAGGTGACTCCAGAACTGGTCCTCTCCCAGAGGAGGGTGTGGGGCGAGGAGTAGCTCCCAGACTGCTTAGGACCTGAGTCGAGTTCCCGCTGCTGATCGCCCACTCAGCCCAGCCCTAGAGCCGGGCCCCCGTCCCCACTTTGAATTGTCCTCCGTCTCCACGTGGCGCTTCCCAGGAGGCTGGGCTTCTCCTGCTAATGAGGCCTCAGACCCTCCCCAGAGGATGCCCTCTGAGAGGGGCTCTGCCGTGGGCTGCATGTCTGCCGACCCCAGAACCTGCCCTTCTCACACACGCAGGCCCGTCGGCTGCACGCTGTCCCCATTGTTAGCCCCCAGGTCCCGCGGGGACGGGAGCAGCAGTTCCATTTTCACAGGTGACTTTGAAGGCCGGGCTCTTCGAGGCCCCTGTGGTCACCTTTCTGCTCCGGCCGCTGGCCCAGGAGGCCCAGGTCCCACCTCTAATCCCGCAGTCTCCTTGCCTGGCTCTGACCAGGGACCCCAGGGCCCCTTGGGGCTGGAGGGGAAGAGAGAGTGGGCCCCTCCCAGGTCAGATTGCTTTCTGGCCTCTGCCTGAGCCTCGGCCGCTTCTCCGGTCCAGCGGGAAGGATGCTGTTGCACAGCCTGCCCCGGAGGCATCGCGGGAAAGGGACTGTGGCTGAACGTTCTCTGGGATCAAGCACGTGGACCGCCCCCCCCCAGGGCTGAGGCCGATTCCCAGGCATCGGTAGAGCATCTGTGTGCGGGACCTTCCTCCACCGTCCAGGGAGGTGGTTGGGCCTTTGGTTTGGAGCCATGGATATGCCTTTTGGCCGGAGCAAGTGGTACCATGGGCCCAGGCTTCAGGGCGCACCTTGGGGACGTGCCCCGAGACAGCTCCGACTGCCAGGGGCCCCCCTTCTTCCCAGCAGCGCGCTAGACACGGGCATTTGTGCCGAGGTTGCCAGGCAGGGACAGTTCTGTCCCCTTCTCTCACCAGGACCCTGGGAACCCAGAGCAGCCCGTGGGCCTCTCCCTCTTCCACCCGAGGCCCAGCCCTGTGACCCGGTGCGATGCTGCTCCCTGGCGACTCCAGACCAGCCGGGAGCCTGGCTCTTGGTCCCTCTGCCCAGCCTCGCTCCCGGGCCCAGGAGCAGGGCCCAGCCTCTTCCTCGCAGCCTCTGCGCCCGCTTTGTGTGGATGGTACTTGGGAGAAGGCCATGGGTTCCCGTGTTTAACCAGGCAGCGTTCAGGGAAGGCCAGGCGAACGTGTCCCTCTCCCCTGTTTGACAGCCAGCTCCATAGACGACAGACACGCCTGAGCTTCCTGGGACTTTGTCTCTTCTCTCTGGGTGTGTGTGTGTGTGGGGGGGGTGGGTGTGGGTCGGGGGGAGAGATTGGGGGGCCCTAGTTTCCTGGGCAGAGACAGCCTCTCCCTGGAGAAAGCCTCATGCCTGCCACCCCAGCTTCCACATCTAAGGGATCCAAGAAGGGAATGTGGGAGCGCCCCCTGGTGGCGGTGAGCTGCAAAGGCATTTGGGTAAACAGGTGATGCCGGAGGGTGGGAGGCGGCCGGTGGTGGGAGGGAGTCAGGGGCTGTGACCTCCCCTCAGCCCTGGCCTCCAGCCCCACATTATTGACGGTGTGTTTCCCGGATGCCCCTCTCTAGGTGTCCCCCAGGGATGAGTTAGTTAGCGTAAGGGCACTGTAATGAGAAGGCCCCCCCCCCTTTTTAAATATCTGCGGAATAAACCCAATGGTCGATTTTTGAATGAATAAAAGGCTTTTGTTGAATAAACAGCTGGTCCCATCTCTGTCTTGGCATCTAGGCCCAGGCTCTGTCTACTCCTGAGGACTGGGACAGATGCAGACTGCAGCCTGCCCCGCCCCCCTCCCCCCGCCCCGCCCGGCCGGGCTGTCCATGGTCATTTCCCCAGGGCTTTGCTGGAGAGGGACCTGCCCCAGACGCTGAGCAAGTGACTTCGGTTCAGTGGGACTCCGTTTCTCCATCCCTCAGGTGGGGGTGAGAATGCCCACCTCAGGGCATGGTAGGAGCGGAACTGAGCGGCCAGTGCAGGGCTCGGACGGGCTTGGCACCCCCATGGGAGCCTGCAGCTTAGGAAAGGAATTTGGGGAACTCTTACCCAAAACACAAGAAGGCAGTGCTCCCCGCTGCGGCGTTTTCTCTGTTCGCCTCCCAGCCCTCGGCCTCTTTCTGGGGTGCGGTCCTGTCTGACTCGCTAGCTGTGTCTCCGGAGGGGGCAGGGCAAGGCCCGGGTGGGCAGGCGCCAGGGGCATGCCGGCCTCCTCATGCTACTCTGTATGTCGTCCATGTCACGCCAATTAAACACGCTTCCTGATGTGCTCGCCTCCCCGTGTGGACCTGTTGCTTCGTCTGTTTCTGTTCTTTTTTGTTTCACCTTAGGTCTCTTCTTCCTCCTGTGACACCCTTTCTCTTGCTTGGGGTGTCGTTCCCTGGTCTCCCCCGGAGGAGTGCTGTGCCCAGGGGGAGCCTTGGGCAGAGTGGCCACCCGGGCACGTCGAGGAGTGTTTCTCGGAGGCCGGAGCGGAGCAGGGCGAGCCTCCAGCCCACGCGCTCCCAGCACCTCCGTGCCGGCCTGTGGCATCTGTCTGTTCGGAGTCTCTGAAGGGGTTTCTGAAGGTGTGGAAATGTGTGAAAGCAGCTGGCCCAGACCAGTGCTCTCAGATTGTGGGTGTCCGCAGCCCCCGAGGCTTGTTAACCCAGATTGCCGGCCTCACTGCCCGTTGCTGGTGCTGCCGGTCTGGGGGGCCACACTTTGAGAACTGGGGGGCTGTGTGCACTATGGGACATCCGGCTGGGTCCTAAAGGGGAGTCCTGCCTCCATGCGCCCGGGTCCAGCTAATCCTTCATTCCCTTGGATGTCTCCCTCCCCCCACCCCCCGGGATGTGTGGGCACTGAGGACCCAGAGATCTGTCGCTCACTCGTGAAGAGGTGATCGGGAGGGCGTGGGTAGAGGAGCAGCTCCTGTGGGGACTCTCAGAAAGGCACCCCGAGATTGGCAGCCACGTGGCTGCCTCTGGCAGGGTCCCCCTCAGCCTGGCCCCTGGGATCTTGGTGGGGTTTCCTCTTTCCCCTCCTGGCAAGTAACCACGTGTTTGCTCAACACACGTGGGGCCTGCAGGCGCTGGGTGCCTGCAGACGGGGTCAGAGGAGGCAGGTCCCCGCCTTCCCTCTGAGGACACCTCAATCCAGAGAACAATAGCAGGCAGTGTGGCCGCAGGTGCATACCTGCCGGTGAGAAACACGCCATCGCTCTTGAGAGACACGTGACATCGAGGCTGATGGGTCAAGCAGCCAGTTAGAGTGAGCCACCCCCTCCCCTGGAAAAATAGGTTGCATTTCAGAGTTGGTTTTGTGAAAGGGATTGTCAGACCGACACCAGCTAAGACAGAGCTGCTGGGCCCAGCAAAACTTCCAGTTGGCGCTGAAGCAGCCACGGAAAAGGGGGTGCAAACACGGCCTCCATGGCCACGCCAGGCGCCCCACTTCCTGCCTCGCTCTGGCAGGGATGAGACACACGGAAGCGAATCAGAGGCAGTGTGGGAGGCAGAGGCAGTGTGGGAGCACAGTGGTTAGGGTGCAGGTTCAGACTCAGACCTGGTTCCCAGCCAGGCTCCACCACCCGACATTGGGCATGTGTTCTAACTGACAGTTTTCTCATAAAAACGTGGCACCCCCAATTAGAGGCAGGCAACGGCTCCATGGCCCCTCTCAACAACCTTGCCACCAGAGGGAATATTACAACAGAAGCAGGCCTTATTCTGCCAAATGCTCAGACGTTTGCTAGCAAACAGGGACCAACACAGTCATCTCCCTGGACGCATCCGTCCAAGGAGTGGGGGGGGGGGGGGGGGCAGGACCGCTAACATCCTTTCGCTAATGAACAGACTCTAGTGCGGCTTTTAATAACAGTCTATATTTACAATGCTAACATGGCCCCTTCTGGAGAGGGGTTCCTGATCAGGGCATTTCAAATCCTGAGGGACTGTCCCTGAGTGGAGATTGGAGGTCATTTACACGCACACACAACTCCATTCTACCAATGAATTGAAATGAAATGAATTTTCAGGACACCTCTCTCTGGGAAGACCCAGATCTGGCTGGAGGGGCCCATGTGGGGGTAGCTGGAGCAATGGCCCAGCGTCAGGCCAGCCCACAGTGGGCGTTTGCTGTCGCTGAAGGTGACTCAGTCTTTTCCAGGCAGCCTGGGGAGGCGTCTAGGGGACAAGGTCCAGAGCCCCTGTGGGCACAGGACATCATAACCTCTTGCTCTGGTCAGTCTGCACTCACCTGCCCCTGCCCAGCCCGCCCTGGGCGGCTCACTGCGAGGTGAGGCCCAGTGAAGGCCCAGACCCCCAACTCATACTCAGCCACCCCTTTGCTGGGATGGCTTGGACTGGCCTGGGTTGGACAGCCCGGGCGAACCCCCCAGATGGCTCCGTTTCTTCCCACTGTGGGCCTTTCACTCCGTCCCCCAAACACCAAAGTCACATCTGCATGATAGAAAGTGTCTCCCTAAATGTTACTCCCCAGAGGCCGGCTTGGGGCACCTCCACACAGAGAAGAAAAGGGAGAGTGGGGAACGCCATGTGGACCTCTGCCCTGCTTGCTGCCTCCCTGGCGTGGCCCCCTGCAGCCTGCCCTGCCCCCGTGACAGGGCCCAGGTCACATCCAGGATCAGAAACTTTATATCCTCCAGGGTCCCTGGTCTGGAGGAGCCTCAGGGTGGCATGAAAGGGGCTTGGAAGGCCGCCCGAATTTAGGAAAAGTGAGCTCACAGAGGTACGGTCCAGCCTTCTACCTGACCACATCTCTTGATCCATTTATAGCTGCTCACCCGGATGCATGTTATAAAGGACTACATTTCCCAGCCTCCCTTGCAGCCGAGTGCGGCCACGTGACTCAGTTCTGACCAATGGGATGAGAGCGATGAGCACAACTTCCCTTCCTGCCACTCCTTCCCGCTGACGGGACCGAGGACCAGGCAACAAGCCCTCCTGTAGCCCGAGTCCCGACACCTGCAGCGGCCACCAGCCCTGGACCATTTACGCCGGTACCGTTAGGAGGGAGAGGAACACACCTCTAACTTGATTGAGCCGGCTTGGGTCTCTGTGCAAAAACAGCCAAATTTATATTCTACCTAATACACCGCGGGGTCCACTGGGTCATTTTAAATACATTTTATTGATTTTTTACAGAGAGGAAGGGAGAGGAATAAGAGTCAGAAACATCAATGAGAGAGAAACATCGATCAGCTGCCTCCTGCACACCCCTACTGGGGATGTGCCCACAACCCAGGCACATGCCCTTGACCGGAATCGAACCTGGGACCCTTCAGTCTGCAGGCCGACGCTCTATCCACTGAGCCAAACCGGTTAGGGCCACTGGGCCATTTTAAACGATCAGGTGCCACCTACAAATGTTTCCTCTAAAGTCTCCATGGTTGCCTAAGCGATATAGTCAAAACGTGTGCAGCCGCGTGCTCCGCGTGCTCCCCGCATCACCTCTTCTCACTCACACCTTCCCATCTCCTCTCCTTCCCCTCTGCCCTCCTCCAGGGCTCAGGGGCCCAGGGGCCCAGTGGGAAGGACTCCTGAGGGAGGGCATTATTTTGCTGAATGACTAAAGGTCTGGGTGGGGGGAGGAGAAGGGGGGTGTTGGCCCCGGATAAGGTGGGAGGCCCCAGGAGACTAGGCTAGCTGGGTTTCCCCGGGGAAACCACAGTGAGGGTGCTGGCAGCCTGGCCTGACATTGGACGCAGGACCTTGCCAGCCGCCTTGAGACAGGGAGACCAGAACTCCCATGGTCTCTTCAAACTCCTGCCCTAGAAACAGTGCCCTTTCCCCAGCACAAGCAGATCTTAGAGGTACCAGATGTGACCAAGGGTAAAATACCGTTGTTCGGAGAGTGGGAGAAGGGCAGGGCAGAGTCACTCTGGTACCGTTGTCACCCCACGGAGGGTGGATCCCACTGTAGTCACTGGGCTGCTGGTTGCCTTAGAGGCGAGGAGGCGTCTTTGCAATATTGTGGGAAACCACTTTCATTTTGGAAGGCCCAAATGAATATGTGTCATGCCTCCTGCATGCCCCCTACTGGGGATGGAGCCCCCAATCTGGGCATGTGCCCTGACTGGGAATCAACCAGCAATCTTTTGGTGCACAGGATGATGCTCAACCACTGGGCAACACTGGCCAGGGCTGAGGGTTTCTTTTATTGTATGTGTTTATCTGGTCTTGGTATCAGGGTAATCAATGCTGGTCTCACAAAATGAGTATAAAGTGCTCCCTTTTCTTTTATCAGGTAGAATTTTGTCCCCCTTTAAATATTTAGTATAATTCACCAGGAAGTAATCTGGGCCAAGGAGTCCTCCTTTTTGGAACGTTTTAAAACTACAGATTCCATGTCTTTGCTCTATAGGATGAGCCAGGTTATCTATTTCACCTCGGGGACTTGTGGTATTTTGTAGCTGTTGAGGAATTTGTCCATTTCGTCCACATTATTGGGTTTATGTGCACAGAGTTGCTCTCACTATTCCCTTCTTATCCCTTTATTGTCTGTGTGGTCTGTAATGATATCCCTGTTTTTGTCCCTGCTATTCATAAATTTCCTCTCCTTTTTTGCTTTGCAAGTCTTGCTAGAAGTTTATTCATTTTACTGATCTTTTCAGAGAACCAAGTTTTGGTTTCACTGTTTTTCTCTACAGGTTTCCTGATTTCAACTTCATCAATTTTAAATCTTTGTTTTCTTCCTTATG